CAGTAGCAGATCCTGTAATCCCTGAATGCATGAGGCTGAGGCAGGAGGATCATGAGTTTGAGGTCAGTCCGAGCTACAGAGCAAAGGAGCCAAGAAGCCGTCTCAGAGAAGGAAAAAAAATCTGTTGATAGTTTGATTCACATAAAACACTCCAGAGAAAAAGTATTTCCTTGTGGCTTCTGGACAAAGCATATGAGGAAGGGGTGCAGAAATAATGTTTTGTGAGACAAGGTCTCACTCTGCAGCCTTGGTTGGCCTGGAACTCACTATGTAGACAAAGCTGGCTTGAATTCATAGAGACTTTCCTGCCTCTGCCTCTGGAGCACCATACCGGGCCCAGACACAATTTCCTGATCCAAAAGGCTGTTTCCAGTGGGACCACAGGGCCAGTGAAGAGGAAGCCAGTGAGTGGCCAACACCACCACTTGTCATTCTCTGGGGTCCCTGGGCTAGGGTTCAGAGTGTGGCAAGAATCTCAAGGTCCCAAAATAAGGGGCCAAGAGAGGCGCAGGTGCATAAGCCTCCTAGGAATAGCAGCCTTCCCGGGCTAGGTCACCAGGGCAGCCCAACAGGAAAAAACCAGCAGCTCTGGAGTGTGCCCCGTCATCACTGAAGAGGTTAGAGTTCAAGCCACGGCGACTAGGGTGGACTGGGGCCTTGAGAACAGAGAGGGTCAGTACTGTCATTTTGGAGCAGGGGTGGAGGGGTGGAGAGACATTGAGTAGGGGCGGGATGAGACTGGGGACTCTCCAGATGAGCGAGCCCAGAGCAGGAGCCCCAAATGCAAGGAGCTCAGTACAGAGTCTGGGTCCACTGGGAAGCCACGTGAAGGAAAACAGCCTAGTCTGGCCCCAGCAACAGGACAGTATGATAGAAAGATGCTGGGGCGGCGGGGGGGGGGGGTGCCGCTGTGAGAAAATCCTGTCTCAGGGCTGGGGGTGAGGCTCAGCTGGTTGAGAGCTTCCCTAGCCTGCACAAGGCCCTGGACCCCATCCCCAGCACAGCGTAAACCCGGTATGGAGGTGCAAACCTAGAATCCCAGCATGCGAGCAGTTTGGGGAAAGACATCTCCAGGAAACTGGAACTGAGCACATATACCCATGGCCAGTGGTGGCTGAGGGCATTGACGTCTCATGCCTTCAGGAAGAGCGGCAGAACCTGCCTTTCGTGTTCCCTTCTGTGGGTCCAGGCTTTCAGGCTCACTAGCTGAGGCTGCGTCTGGAACGGTGGCTTTGAGAAATACCCACTGAAGAGCCCAGGAGGGCAGGAGGAACCCAGCTCCATCTGCCTCTACATTCATAGAGGTCCCAGGTAGACCTGGGCCCCAAGAGCATCTGTGATGCCTATGCCGACTGCCAATATGTGGACACATGCCCAGCATGCTCCATGGCTGGGGCAGGCCTCTCCAGAGACCTACTGGGGACTTGGAGGGGACTATCTTTCAAATGGCCTTATATCTGATATACAAGGTAAGGTATTGGGGACTATGGTGATCCAGCCCCTCAATAGTCCCCTCCCAGGGTCCGGGAAGAATTTACAACCAGCTGATAACTAATCTTTGATGAAAAGAAATGAATCTATGTACAGGAAACTCCTTAGTCCATACACTTTATTATTCTGTGTGAGTTCTCTCTCTACAAGCTTCCATTCTCTTTTAGCTCCTTTCTTGCCTGATCTCTCTCTTTATTCATCTACTGTTCCCTCTAAGTTCTATCTTAATTCTCTCGTCTTAATTCTGCCTCATCTAGGTCCTTATCATCTCATTCTTACCCAACTAGTACTTCCCCATCTGACTCTTTCTAATCTTCCATCTAGTCCACACGTTCTCTCTGGACAAAAATCCTCCTTGTCCCTCTCGGTTCTCTGTCTCTCTGTCCCCCACAAGTCTCTCTGGAGTCCAGTTATAAACCCAAGCAATAGCAGTCCCCTGGTTGAGCAAGGTCACCAGGCTTGAATTCTACAGGGTCAAAAAGGTAGGTAAGAATTTTCCGAAGGCAGAGACCACCAGGCTTCCAGGGTCAAATGGAGGGGTGGTAAGAATCACATAGAGGGGCAGTAACTGTTAATTATCATTTGCAACCCAAAAGGGAAGTGACTAATGAATTAACTAAATTTGGGTAATATCTAAGAAGAGGGATCTTATGTGCTTGACTATAGTCTTAAACGTGATTGGTAGAAAATGTTAAGAATCTATAAGTTGCTAAGTCAATGGGAGAAAATAAAACTGTCTTCTTTTTTCCTGTGGCTCCTATCTGTCCAAGCTATCTGCCGTTTTTCTGCAGGGTGGGGGAAAGTGTGTTCAGTCTTAGAAAACCTGTGTACAGCTAGATGCCTGTGGTGATAGTTAAAGGGAGATCTGAAACTAGAGGTAAGATTTGGGAAAGGAGGAAGCTAAGCTTAATTGGCACATCCGCCAGGCCTTCTCAAACAGGTAGCCTGAATGCTTAAGTCTGTTCTTAGAGAGTACAGAGATATCTCTGATAAGGTACTTTCCTCCGTCTGGGGATGGACCTGGCCGGATACTGCCAATGACGATAATTACAGGGAGGCTTGAACTGGGGTTCTGGCTGTGCATAGCTGTCAGCGCACAAGGTTATCTAAATATTCCTTTAGTAGAGGGGAAATGGTGCCCAAATAATGATGGAAAAGCTGCAATAGCACACAAGAAACTCATAGCAGCAAATGGCTGATAATCAAAAGCCAAATCTCACCAAGGTTCCTTGAGCCTCAGCTTGACCTCCAGAAGGCCCTCGGCTTCTTCCAGGTGTTAGCTTTGTCATAATCCTCTGAAATCCTACTTTGTATATTTTTGCAACTTGCAGCAGTAAGGTGCTGCCGGGGTCCAGCATGGGCAAGGATCCCACTCAGGAGAAGCAAACACAAAAAACAGCAAATCACAGAAACACTACCGGCGCTTGAGTGCCTGGGTCCAACTGTACCGGATGCTCATTTTACAAAGCTGGCAGCCAGAAAAACCTGTGGCTGGCACAGCCTGGGCTGCACGTGGGAAGCATCAGCCACATCCCCTGCTTGATCTGCTCTACAAGAGCTGGATGGGGCTGGGGCCAGAGGTCACGTATGGCCTGAGCTGAAAGGCCATGATTAATTCTCTGTCCTGCAGCTCTGAGCTGGACAGACAACCGCTGTGAGAGGGAAGAGAGCAGCAGCCCTCACCCCCAGGAGACATCCTCAAACCTCAGTTTCCCCAGTGTGCCTGAGTGCTCACCGGTCAGTCTGTTCGTTCAGCATCGCCTTGACCAACACAGTTCTGAGTAAGAGGACACTGAGTGTCTGAAAGAGATGGCTCAACAGTTAGGTGCACGGGCTGCTTTTCCGGAGGACCCAGGTTCGATTCCAAGCACCACACCGCAGCTTACAGCTGTCTGTAACTCCAGGTCCAGGAGATCCAACACCCTTTTCCAGCCTCCTTAGGAACTGTACATATGTGATACACAGACATACATTCTGGTTGGTTGGTTGGTTGGTTGGTTGGTTGGTTGGTTGGTTGGTTGGTTGGTTGAGGAGAGGAGACTGAGGGGCCAGAGATGGCTCAGTTGATCAAATGCTTACTGTGCAAGCATTGAGGACCAGAGGCTGATCCCAGGACCATATAAATGGCCAGGTGTGGTGGTGAGCACTTGTGATCCCAGCGCTGGGTAGGTGGAGGTGGACCCACTGTCCAGTCTTCCAAGATGAATCAGTGAGTTCCAAGTTCAACAAGAGACTGTGTCTCAAAATACCAGGTGGGGAGTGACAGGGTGACAGTCAAGGCTGTGCTCTGGCACATGCGCATGTGCACACACGTGCACACACGTGCACACACAAAGAAAGCACAGACCTAGTCAGCATTAGCAGCCCTGGCATCCCGGGATGACTTGGTGCACACTAAGGAACATGCTCTCATGGTTGGGAACAAAGGATTCTTCTGGGTACCCCGAAAAAGGGGCTGAGAAGTGACTAACCTCTCCCCTCAAAGCCTGAATAACAGGCGTTTTTGGATCAGGGTGATTAAGTGGCCAGTTCTGAAAATTCACACTCTTGGGGTTGCAAGAGTCAGGGGAGGCCATCCACAGCTGAACACCTGGCTGGTTGTCTATCTTACATCAGACACCCGGGTCGCCCCCCCAGCACCTCCATGGACCTCTCAAGAATTGTGTGGGCCCAAAGACTGCATTTTCTTCATTTGGACCCTTTAAGAACCCGGGCTTGGTGGAGGGATGGACGGGGAGGGGCAGGGCGATGGGCAGGGCGGGGCGATGGGCAGGGCAAGGTCTCCTTGGCATCTTTATGGCTCCCCTTACCCCACAGCATAAATCCACTCCAAGCCGGTGACATTTGCACAGCGCGTTTCCTCGGGTCTCCATAATCCCTTCAGAATATTAAGGCTGCGTTCCTTTATCTTTGGTTACATTAACTTCAATTTTCCTTATGAGTAAGTATTTGGCTAAAAATTAATATAGTGAAGTTGAAAAGAATCTTAAGATAGGAAAAAGACTAATTTCATCTCGGACTGCTCAGATCCCCGAGTACACCGGGGTTAATGTAATTAACTTACAATTTGAGCCCGGGTTGTGTACATACACTGAATCTCCCCACTGGAAACCAGATTAGATTTTATTGCTCCATATATCCTGCTTATCTATGCTACGCCTCCAATATACTTCCCTCGATGACTTCGAGGCTCCACTCTACAATGGAAATGCAGAACCATCTGGTCCTGAGCCCGCGCCGTTTATTTAAAGATTTAATTAAATACTGTAAATGGAAAGCTTCCCTGAATTAACATTTTAAATGTGACTTATTGCAGGTTTGATATTGTCTTAATGCCGGCCTGGGAAACTCCATCGCAAGTTGTTGACGTTCAAATTGAATTCATTTGGGTGGCTCCGGGGGGACCCATTAATTAATCTAAACAACTAATGGGGATTGGTTCTGACTTTTGATGAAGATTATTTACTGAGACAATTTGCGATGAATAAAGAGTCACAGTAGGCAAATGCTTAATTGAATTCAAAAAAGTCTCATTGTGTTTAATATCAGGGATGCGGGCGTGTGAGTAAGCTTTGAAATGCAGGAGCAGGGCGAGCATCTCTGTCTCTTACCCCAGCTAATAACAGAGTGAATGGGTAATTACATCCGCGGTAGCTGCTCCTCAAGAGGACAACAGGTCTGTCGGCCTAATCACTTCCTGGAGAAGGAAGACAGGAGGTCCCGCCCTTTGTCCTAAGGCTGGGTCACAGGGAGCCCTGTGGCAGCAGCCCACTCTCCACCTCCCTTCGAAGCCTGCCCGCCTGGGGAAGGGCTGTCCTCCCGCCTCAGCTCCCTCCCCATCGCTCTGCTGTCCAACTCTCCAGGAGCTCTGATGAAATTCCACCTGGATTAAGCCAGAATGAACTTTCCAGTCTATCTATCTTTTCATTCCATCTTCTGGGTCAGCAGCTCGGGTCAGAACTCTGCTGGAGGAAAATGGAAGGTTCTAGAAGCACGCATATCCAGCCTGTGGCCTGTGCCTGCATTCCGCACAACACAAAACTGAGAACTTACTCAAAACATAAGAAAAATCGTTTTGGGGGAAATTTTGTTTGTTTGTTTGTAACTCCATTGCATGGTCCTCAGTGATAACAATATGTCAAAGCCATGCCAAAAGGCTGGACATGCCTGGAGAGGGAAAAAAGTCTTCACATCTCCAGCACAGGCCTGGCAGAGGTCTACCCACATAGAGCATCCCTGCCTGATGTGGTACCCTCAGACTGGAGACTCCCCACCCCTCTCCACATACCCCACCCTCTTTGCCTGCCCAGGCTGCGGCTCTCAGCAGCTTGCCAGAGTCCTAGGAGATTCCACTGAGGGCTTACTTCAGAGGCGCTGGACCAGTGTCCTGTCACTCCTCTACAGCTGTGATAGACAACCTATAGAAGGAAAGGTGTAGGGTCAGGGTTCATCTCCATGAGGATGGCATCCCAGCAGGTGGCAGACATGGCAGCTGGAGCTGGAGGCTGAGGACTCCCATCTCAGACCTCAGTCAAGAAGCCAGAGAGCACACTGGACATGGTAGGAGGTTTTTGAAACTCCATCCCTAGTGAGGGACGCATCCCCTCCAGCAAGGCCACACCTCCTAAACCTCCCCAAACAGCCACGAACTAGAGACCGGAGTATTCAAACAGGAGCCTATGGGGGCCATTCCCATTTAAAGCACCGCAGCCAGAATGTGTCTCTCTCTGTCTGTCTCCCTTCCTCTAGCACACTGACCTCTTGGTGTGTTTGTGTCTGTCCTCTCCTCACTCCCAACTTCTCTCACGCCAGAGTTGACTGTGACTGGAGAAAAAACACATGGGATACTTGTTGTATGAGGGTGCAGCATTCTAAGTCCCTGGATTTGTTTTGTTTGCTTGTTTTTGTGGTTTTTTTTGAGACAGGGTTTATCTGTGTAACAGCTCTGTCTGTCCTGGAACTTGCTCTGTAGACCAATCTGACCTTGAACTCATAGAGATCCTCCTGCCTCTACCTCCCGAGTGCTGGAATTAAAGGTGTGCACCACCACCTCCCGGCTAACATAAGGCAGTGTTTCGCCATATGTGATGATTAACATTGGTTGTCAACCTGGCAGGGTCTAGAGTCACCATGGAAAAAAACTCTGGGCCTGTCTGTGAGGGAGTTTCTAGATAGGCTTTACTGAGGTGGAAGACACCCTGAACACATGTCACAGGTTATGGTTCTGGACTGAATAAAAGGGAGGAAGGGGCCATTATTCATCTCTCTCCTGCCCCTGACGGGATTCAATGTGACCAGCTACCTCTCTCCTACCGCCGTTCCTTCCCCACCATGATGGACTGTATCCCTTCAAACTCTGAGCTGAAATTCACCCTCCTCCCCTTCAGCTCCTTCTCGCCAGGCACTTGTCACAGCAACACTTGAGCATCTAATGCACTCTGTCACGGTGATTAGCTTGAAGGACGCTGTGGTTTTAACCCTCCCACCCCCAGATGTGCTACTTTAGAAACCTATCGTGACATCCCCAGAGCTCTGCTCAGGAAAAGCCAGAGAGCCACCAGGACAAGAAGGGGCATCTGGGGGCCCAGCCGGAGGCCACTGAGTTCAAGTCCAGGGTCTGTCTTCTTCTCCTGCAGCTCCCCGGACAACCATGAGGAGAGGCTCCTGGTGGTCCTTACGGACATGTTCATGCACAAATGACTGGCGTGGGTCTTCTGCTTTCTTATTCTTTACACACGTAGGATTTCGTCCTGTTCGCCGCCTCTGCACTAGCTTTTCTCACTCTGTAATGAATCTTGGAAACTTCATTTAGATGTAGGCATGTTCCGGTGGACGAAAGGCGGGGCTCTGACGGTGTTCATCAGTTTGTGCGTTTGCTTTGACACAGGGTCCCTGTAGGTCAGGCTGGCCGTGGATTCACTGTAGAGCTGAGGATGAGGGAACCTTCGATAAATGCTGAGATTACAGTGAGCGCCACCACACCCGACTTGCACCTCACTTTTGAAACTGCTTCATGTCTGAGGGTCAAGTTAGCCAGGGCAGAGAGGCAGAGGGTGGCCTGACTGCTCAGTTGTGGGGCATGGAGGGTGTCTGACAGGACCGAGAAAGGGTGCCTGAGGTGGGTGAGTAGTGGGAGGAACAATACTGAAATGCATGTGTCGACAAGTACCCATCCCTTGAATGCTTTCCCATGGACTTAGAGTTTGACTTGAGGTTATGTGAGCGTAGAACGAATATATGGCATGGGAACATCCCATTTTCATATTTCTCAAGAAGAGAATTTAGAATGCCAACGGATATGGGAAGGAACACAGGAATGCCTGTGACCTTCCTCAATTTCTAAAGAATAGTCATGGCAAATGATGTTCCCACACCTCAGATGTTTTTCTGAAGAAAAAATAATAATTCCATGCTTTATATTCCCTTGAAGATGCTGCCTGTGAACCAGGCTTCCTTGCTGACCTGTCGTCTCATAACTGTTATCAGATGGGGTATAATAATAAAACTGAGCCTCGTCGTACAGTTTGTACCCTTGGGCTCTGTTGCCTTGAGTCCCCTCGTTTCCTAGTTCATGTCTTCCTGTATTGATCAGGAGAGGCGACTCGGCCAGCATCTGGCAGTTTCCCCACTTTAACTTCATTATGTAGCCCAGGCTGGACCAAAGCTTGCGACTCTGCATCAGCTTCCTGGTGCTGGGATTGCAGACATGGGTTGCCACATTGAAGCTAAGCACTTTCACTCTGGAATATTTGCAGACTTAGAGGATGCTACAAAGGGAGCAGTGAGGTCTCTGGTCTCATCGGGAGCAGAGGACACCTGTGATCGTCAAAACTGGGCATCTTACAGGCACCTAGTGGATCAGGATGGGGACCCCAGTAAACGCTGCATGACACCAGTGGTGATACCCACAGCAGAGAATGGCCCAGGCTAGCCTGCCAGGCAAGCTAAGACAGAGAAGCCCCCCTACAACCAGCTTCTCCCGCTTTGAACATCGTCCGGTGGCCATTGATTAGTGCCAAGAAACTGGGGCCAGTTTGATGACTGAGAGGGCAAAGGTTCTTGCTGCCAAGCCTGACACCCAAGGTCACTCCCCAGGACCTACGTGGTGGAGGAGAGAACTGACTCCCACAAGTTCCCTCTGGTCTCCAGACATACACTGTGTGGTACATGAGCTCACACAGGCAGGCATGCATTCAAAGTGCATGAACATGAGTATCAATCAATCAATCAATCAATCAATCAAAATGTAGGCCAAGAAACTAGCATGGCTACTGTACCATTGCTGCTGGCTGTTCTGACCCTGTCTTAGTCCACACCAAACGCTGTAACAAATCCCTAGAGGAAATGATAAACTCTTGTGATGTCTCGCTCACAGCTTTAGAAGATTCAAAGCCCAAGAGCAAGGGCTTGTGTGTAGTTGGCGACTTCTGAATACCCAGGGGCGGAAGGACTTAGTAGGCTCCCTCGGCTACTTCAGATGACAGCCACTTCTCAGTCCCTCTTCCCACCAACCCTTGTTCTGCTTCAGGTTTGCACAATTTTGAGTCTTTAGATCTTGATGTCTGGACACAGCTGACCTGGGTGGACCCACGTATTTCCCTCGGTGACTGGCTGGTCTCCCTGGTGTCTGCCAGGCTGAGTCCTGTTGTCTCATATGACAAGACTTAGTTGTTTCTAAGGTGAAGTACTCCATCACAGGTATGTCCACGCACTGTCTACCCAAGCATGTCCCTTACTCTATCACAGGTATCACACTATCTACCCAAACACTGTCCATGGGGCAGTCAGCTGCTTCCATACACAGCATTGGTCACAATGAGGCCATGCAATGGTTTCCCCCAAGATCCTGGCTGGGCTCTTTTGGATACACAGTCAGAAGTGAGCTCGCTGGTCATAAGGTATTGCATTTTATGACACTCACATGAGGGGGGTGCCATCTCCCGTCCCTGTGACCCACGCTCGGTGAACATCTTTCCAGGTCTGCATCGGCCATCCTCTGTCCTTCGGTGGGGGATGTCTGTTCAAGCCCTTGTCTGCTTTTCCCTTTGTTCTGTCTTACAGGTCCTGCTATGTAGCCTAGTCAGATAGCTGTCTGTCTGTTTACTTTGTGATCCTCCTGCCTCAGACTCCTGAGTATTGGGATTTCAGGTGGGCACCACCGTCCCCAGCTTTGTCCATTCTCTATTGGGCTACTTATTGTTATTAAATCATAGGCCACTTTATATATGAAGGATCTTAACCCCTTATCAGATACGTGGTGGGAAATCACCTTGCTTCAGTTCAAAGGTCTGTCCACCCTTGTCTTTGTCCTGGTTAGTTTATGTCAACTTGACATAAGCCAGAGTCATCTGAAAGGAGGGAACCTCAATTGAAAAAATATCTCCATAAGATCCAGCTGTATGGGCTGGAGAGATGGCTCAGAGGTTAAGAGCACTGGCTGCTCTCCTAGGGGTCCTGAGTTCAATTCCCAGCAACCACATGGTGGCTCACAACCAATCAATAGTGAGATCTGGTGCACTCTTCTGACACACAGGCACACCGTATACAAAATAAATAAATAAATAAATAAATAAATAAATAAATAAATAAATAAATAAATATCCAACTGTAGAGCATTTTCTTAATTAGTGATGGGTTGGGGAGGGTCCCGGCCCTGCCCATTGTGAGTGGTGCCATCCCTGGGCTGGTGGTCCTGGATTCCAAAAAGAAAAGCAGGCTGAGCAAGCCATGGAGGGCAAGCTGGTAAGCAGCACTCCTCCATGGCCTCTGCATCAGCTCCTGTCTCCAGGTTCCCGCCCTGCTTGAGTTCCGCTTCTGGCATCCTTCAATGATGAACCACAATGTGGCGGTGTAAGGCAAACAAACCCTTTCCTCCCCAAGTTTCTTTGGTCGTGGTGTTTCACTGTAGCAACAGTCTCCCTAAGACACTGCTCATTCACTTCTCTGCTGTAGCTGGCCACTGTGCCTCCCTGCCGGCCTGCCTTTTTTAATTCGTATTTGTTTGCTTGCTTGTTTGTTTTTGATGCAGGGTATCTATCCCAGCCTAGCCTACAACTCCAAATATAGCCAAGGATGACCTTGAACGTCAGATCTTCCTGCCTCTTGCTCCCAAGGGCAGGGACTTAGGGCGCACTCCAGCACTGCTGGCTCCAGGGGGGGTTGATGCTGCAATTTCTTCATCCCTCGTCCCTGGTGGCCAGAAGTAAGTCATGAATTTTTGAAGGAAGCCCATCCTCTGGTAAAGCCCCTTTGTAACATGACCTCGACCACACTCTCCCCTTTCCATGAGTTAGGTCTCTGGCTTTTACAATAACACACAGTCCTGGGGGAGGTGTCAGGACACAGAGCAGGGGACCTTTTGGGGGAGGGAGTCACCAAATCCTCTCTTGAGAGGACTCTCCTCCAGAACCATTGCCAGCTCTCTGTACGTCAAGATTCACAGTGAAGCACTGTACCACGGGGATGGCTCACCAGCTAATATGACTTGCAGAGGACTCAAGTTGGATTCCCAGCACCTACATCGGGTGTAACTCCAGCTCCAGGGGATCCAACACCCTCTTCTTGCCTCTCTGGGCAGCTGCATGCATGTACACACAGACATATACATAAATTAAACATAAAAAATAAATTTTTTCCTTAAAAAGAACGGAGGAAGGCAGCAAAGGAAAAGGAACAGGTGGGCGTGTCTCTGGAGCCCCAGGGGGCGTCACGGTTTCCTTTATATTGCACAAGTGTATGGGCCCAAAATAGGAAAGAAACAGAGCAAAACTGTCACCCGCGACTCCACACTGGCCCTGCTTCCCTCCAAGGGAGTAGGGAGGGCACTGCCTGCAGGTCCCCTAAAGCAAAAGGCAGCTCTCAGAGCAACCCTGGACTGGCTAGGGCAATCAGAACCCAAGCACAGCACAGCCCGCTCCCTGGACAGCTCCAGCTCACTGCATTCCCAGGAGCCTTTGCTTCAACCTCTTCCTACTCCATCTCCCTCACTGTCCAAGATGCCAAACGCTGCCAGCTGTCCTGGGGCAGAAGGGGTGTTTGGTCTGTTACCCCCCGAATGTCACTGCAGAAGCTAACTTCGCTCTCCTCTGATTGACAGACTTCTCCCATCAGCCTCGGCTCTAGTGCCAGGCGTCAAAGACATAGGGGCTCACCCCTGCCTGGCTCCAAGCTCTGGCTTCAGTTGGTATTGGAATCACAAGCTGCCGCTTGCACAGCCTGAGAAAGACATGGAAAATAATTGATTCACACACAGAATGCTTCAGTGGGATACTTCTACACTAAAATTGCATGCAGCCACAAAAGGAAAACAGATATATGCTGAGAACTATTTAAGGGAAAGGATTCCAGGGTGAGCCAGGGGGAAAAAAGCAGGATACAATGTGATTTCAAGTTTGTAACAATAAACAAGGAGAATAAAAAGGCAGAAAAGAGATCATCTTTCATTTTTAGGCAGGAAAAAAATACATGTATAATTTGCTCTTCTATAGTTTCTGGGTTTTTTTTCTCTATACAAATACATATTCCTTGGATAATATGCAATTAAAAGTTTGTTTTAAAAATAAAGCATAGGGCACTAGAAAGACGGCTCAGCAGCTAAGATTACCGGCTGCTCCTCCAGAGGACCTGGGTTCAGTTCCCAGCACTCATATCAGGTGGCTGACGACTGTCTGTAACTCCAGTTCCAAGGAATCTGATGCCTTCTTTAGACCTCCCTGGGAGCCAGGCTGCATGTGGTACACACATACAAACAGGCAGGCAAAACACCCATACGCATAAAATCAAATAAATAAACCTTTAAAGGAGGGGGGGATGCTTTAATGGCCCAAGCCCATTCCACACAGTAAGTGCAAGACCAGCTAGATGGGTTCTGCCCCACCCGCACGAACACTTAGAGAATCTTCCAGAAGCCTCCCAGCCCTGTAAGATGCTTCCAGATCCAGGTGAATGTTTTAGACCTGACACCAGATCTCAGTGGACAAAGGGGGCGTGTCTGGTTGTCCCTATTCTCAGGGCATTTAGCACCTGCCTGTCTCACATGGAGTGTCTGGGTAAGGTCAACAGAACAGGGAAGTCTGAGCACCAACCAGAAAGGGACTGCTGGGTACCCACCCCCCTCCCCCAGCCTCAGCCTGGTACTGAGCCAAAGAACCCCAATACCCTGTGGGCTTCCCTTGCCTCCTCACTCAGAACATGCCAGGGGCAGGCGGCTGAGCAGGCAGGCGGGCAGCGGGCAAAGGCTGGAGAGAGGCTGAGAGGAGCACTCACAGGCTCCTCCCCGGCTGCGCTCACTTCCTGAGCACCCACAACTATGAGACAGGGACGTGATAACATGGGGTAGGGAGATGGAAAGTTCCAGCAGTGTGGTTTCTACAGCTGGGCACGGAGCTGGCCAGGCTAGAAACAGCTCAGGTTCTCCCGGCCCCCATTTCCCCCAGGGATATCTGTGTCATGGATGGAGACAGAGCCGGGCGAGTTCCCAGCATCTTGCTGCCTTTTGTTTCTCAGGGCTGCCTGTGCCCTGGGATACAGTCACCTTCCAGGCGCTTGCTTCCTCCCTTCCCAAGCTCATTGGCATTCCCCTTGCTTACAAACACCTGGAGCTTCTGAGATTGCGCTCAGGTCTAGAACTGGGGGAGTTTATCACAGTTAAGTCGGTGGAGGTAGAAGGGGGGTGTGTGGAGGGGGAGGCGGCGGGGATCAGCAGAGATTAGTGAATTATTCACACCTCTCCATCACAGCGCTGGCTCCCTTCTACTCAAGAACACTCATCAACACCTTTCTATTTTTCCATCCATTTTGAAAGCCGGCAAGGGAGGGGATAGCATAATGTTTAATTAAGAAATTAAGTCACTCCTTTCCTAAATATGCAGCTCAGAAAGGGGGAGGGGAGAGGCCAGCCAGCCCAAGAAAATGGTTTTTATCACCAGGAAAAAAAAAAAAATCCGATGCCCAAAATAGCCCCATGGTTGCCCTAGCAACTAGCATATGCTCCCCTCCCCCTCCCCCTCCCGTCCGCCTTTGCATACGGCTGCATATTTCTATCGTCTCCCTCGCAGGCACAGTTCATAAACACGGAGGCATAATAAAGAACGTTATCGCCGATGACTTACGGCCCAGCTGCGCCCGGCCAGATAGCAAGTGGCGAGCCAATACAATTTCATGCAGCGAGGGCCACAGATAGATGGGGTGCCCTTCAAGTGAGATGCTACTTCTGTGAGTCAGTCCAGATTCGAAAATAAAGTTGGTCTTGCCCTCCTCCCCATCCGCCAGAGACAAAGCAGGCCTGGCTGATGCCCGGGAGTCTCATTAGGGCCGGAACAAGCTCGCCCTGAGCCCTGGATTAGCCTGCCAGACTTCTGAGCCCCGCTCTGCCGCCCGTACCTCCCGCCTCTGCCTTGTCAAAGGGCCCAGCCTGGGATGGATGAGGGTCTGTTTGAATTAATTATCCTCTCTTCAGGAGGATTACTTGTGGGGGTGTCCCCATGGCTGGGTGGGGGTTGGGGCAGACACCACACACCCAGCCAGGCTCCTCCAGCTGGGGGAGGTGTTAATTGTGGGGTTAGCTCTCTCTTTCTCTGCTTTCTTCAGTGGCTAATGCCAGGGCGCTCGCTCGAGAGCCCTTCTGTCCAGGGAGGTTTCTCTGAATTGGGGACAGTTGTCCCCGTGGCTTGCAAAACCCCTTCATAAAACTGCTTCCCTGGTCCTTGGTCCAGACCAGGCCAGAGGTTTGGTTTACAATTAAATAAAGCTGAGTCTGAGCATGGTGCATGGTGGAGAAGGGAACTGGTCCAGAAGAGGAAAGAGTCCAGGTTGCAGGGCTCCTGGGCGCTTCTGGGACCAGAACAAAGAGGAAGGGTCAAGAGTGATTTAGCCCCCCTTACAGGAGCCTGCAGAACTAACCAGCACCCCCACCCTCCTTCCAGTCCACACGCACAGGGATATCAGCTCACCGGATCCTTCTACCACGGCTCCAGAGGGTCACTTCCAAGGCACTCCACAGCCAAGCTAGACAACTGGAATGGGGTCTATCTGTGTCTCCTCTCTGACTCCAGGGGCAGAGAACCAGGTCGGGGAGCAGTTGTGTCGGGGACTGGGGGTGGGGGTAGAAGGGCTGGAATCAGGGGAGTCTGAAGCTAGGGACAATGTGGGGCTGGGACTGCTGGGCAGCAGGTAGGTCGGGGTGGCAGGTTTGGTGAGCACTACCATCTGGGCTTGGGTAACATGAAGCCCTGATAAGGGTAGGATGCAGTAGCAGGGTCTTCAGGACCAGTCCGCAGTGGAATTCAGCCAGTCAGGGAGCTCTGAGCTGAGTCCGTCCGTCCCTCCAGGACAATAGAGCTGCGGAAGGCACCAGCTGACCTGGAAGGCCCAAGGCTGCAGGGATAGCAGCCTCCTTTTGCCCTCTGTAGGCCACATGCCAAGCCAACCTAAGGGGCTGTGCCTGCTGGGGGAAGAGCCAGACAAAGCCTGTTGGCTCAGAGGGGAGACTGGGCAGAAGTGAGGCCGTGAGCCTCGCCCACACCGGGCTTCCTGGAGTCCCCTCTGACCCGGCTGTCAGCAGCTGCCCTTGTACCACTCAGGGCATCGCCTCTGGGTGGCAGGGCCTGGGCATTTGGGTGACAATGGGTGTCAGAAGAGAAGACTCAGCTCGTCACCTGGGTTTTGGTCTGTCCAGACAATTCCCAAGGTGACTCAGTGAGGGTGTGGGGTTTTCCTCCAGCCGCTACTGCTGAGCTAAAGAAAGCAAGAAGAACCACGCTCTTTACCCCTCACCCGGGCACTCTCTGGCTCACCTTCAGGGCCCTTCCCCAGGTCCTGTGGAGTTTCAGATGCACACATGTATCTAGAGGCTAAAATAGCATGACGTAGGCCAACCACTTTAGCCAGGTGAGGTGGCGCATGTCTCTAATCTCAGCACTTGGGAGGTAGAGGCAGGCAGGTTTCCAAGAGTTTGAGGCCAGCCGGGGCTACATAGCAAGATCCTGTCTCAAAACAATTTTTTTGAAAGTGGTAATTCAATGCCATTTAGCTCAGTCAAAAAGTTGGGCAACCAGCACCTCTATCATGTTCTGGAACTTTCTTTTCTTGGTGCTGGGGACAGAACTCAGGACATTTGTTACACGAGGCATGCTCTCTCCCATGGAGCTATACACACAGGCCTCTGAACCTTCTTCATCTCCATAAAGAGAAACTGCCAGAGTTGGGATGCTTGTCCCTCAGAGGTCCACATGTGTGAACGGCTTGGTCCCCAGGGTGACATCCTTGTGGACCTGAGCCTTGTGGGAAGCCACTGGGTCACAGAATCTTCTAGAGGTCCATTTCCTGATGAGGTAGACTCATGGCTTTCAGGCCTCTGTTGAGGATTTCAGGGAGAATGGTAGGAGCCTGGGGTGGAACAAACTGCTTATCTCATGGTTGGAAGCACAGGGGAAGAGTCCCGGGTCCCACGGTCCTCTTTGGGGCATGCCCTTCATGACCTTCACAAAGTTCCAGCTCCCCCGCCCGTCCTCCCTACCCTCCCCCCTCCCCCCTTCCCCTCCACCCTCCTAAATGCAGAGAAGAGGCTGGCCACGAAGGCCAAAGGGTTTGCAGAACCACTCAGACAAACTCGATGCTGTTCCAGGGCAGGATTAAGAGAGAGGACCAGAGGACCCCTCGCCCCTGACCCACCCCACCCACCTGCTTCTTCCATGTGAAAGGAAAGGTCATTCTGGACTCAATGGGGTGCACCTGCAACCCTAGCACTTAGGACTGGGGGCAGGAGGATTGCTGTGAGTTTGATGCCACCTTGGGCTATATAGCTAAGTGCCAGGCTAGCTTGAGCTACATAGTAAGACCCTGTCTCAAAACAAAACGCCAAAAAAGAAAAGGGTGGGGGAAAAGCCAATTGGGGAGAGGTCGGTCTCATTTTCTTCCCGTGGCAAAGGAAGGCTGTAACCCCGTGTTCTCACTCAGAACATAGCAGAACAAGATTAACCGAGCACTCTGCAGACAGCAAGGGTCTTTGTAGGACAGAAAATCCGCAATTATTTCTCCTGCCCCTGGAAACCATCACCCGATGGCATAACCTTCACAGGCATCCACTGCTTGGGTCCCATAATCTATGGGACCATTAAGTGGAGGGAAATGGGGCTGAGAAATGACACAAGACTCTACCGTCTCTGTCCCATGTACTTTGCCTGCTCTTTTCTGTCATCTTAAGCCAAACACCTGCTTCCTCTCTGTCATCCTCCAAGGTGATGAACAGCCCTGCCCAGCAGCTTCCAGTGCCTCATCGGTCTGCTGAGCCTCGAGGCCAGCCTTTGTGCCTTTGTCCTGAAAAAGAGGCTGTGAGGACAGGGGTCCCCTCCATCCATCTCCAGTGAAGGTGAAACAGACCAGATTCTATGCAGCATTGTGTCAGACTAAAGGGTGAGGGATGGTGGTTCCAGGGGAGAAAGTTAGGGTGGAACATACCTCGGATATCCAGCTACCTCCCTGAACTGAGTTGTGTATGAAAACAGCCATCTCTTCTCTGCTAAACGGAATCCTCTCACTCCGGGGTCCCAGAGCTTTGTGCTCTCTTGGCATGTCCTTTCCTAACACACTTCATGCAGTGAAGACCCTGCCCTATGATGCCTTGGCTGCCTTGATGAGGGAGGAGCATGGGGCCCTGAGTATGGGGGATAAGTGGGGCCCACTGCACATCCAGGGCTGTGGTGAGTGCAGAGGGAAGGGGATGGCAGTATGGTTCCTGGACTCCCGGGGGTGACCGCTATTTATTTATTTGTGTGAAAGATATCATTAGCTGCTTCCCTGCGTGTTCTGATGCCACCTCAGCAGACCACAGCAAATCTTGATAAAACATCGGATCAAAACAACTCTAGGAGGAAAGGTCTTAGCTTGCTCACACTTGAAGGCTTCTGTCGGGGTGGGAGAGTCACAGCTGGCGCCAGCAGCATGAGACAGCTGGTCATGCTACATCTGAAGCCAGGGAGCAGAGAGGGATGAACTCAGGTGCTGTGCAATAATCCTCTTGTACACTGTAAAAGATTTGTCATTTGAATTGGTTTAATAAAATGCTGATTGGCCAGTGTCAAGCAGGAAGCATAAGCAGGGCAACCAAACCAAGGATGATGGGAAGGAGAGGGTCAGAGTCAGGAGTCACCAGCCAGATGCAGAGGGAGCAGGAGATGAACGTGCCATACTAACAAAGGTACTGCCACATGGCAGAGCATAGAAATATGGGTTAATTTAAGTGTAAGAGTCAGCTAGTAACAAGCCTGAGCTATTGGTTGAGCATTTATAAGTAATTTTAAGCCTCTGAATGGTTATTTGGAAACTGGCAGGTGGGAGAGAAACGTCCATTTGTACTCAGGTGCTTGGCTCACACTCCTTTTTATGCATTTCTAGTCTCTAGCTCAAGGGATGACATCAATAATGCTCAGGACCCAGGGAGTGGGGAACAGGGATCTCCCAACCTTAATTAAGCCAATCTAGAAACTTCCTCACAAGCATGCCCCAAACTTGCCCAGAGTTTTGTCTCCTAAGTGCTTCTTGATCCTGCCAAGTTGGCAGGCAATGTTACCTCCAGAGAGACTGAAAAGGAAGAAGGCTGGAACTGAAGGGGAGGTTCAGGATCACAGCTGTGCACACCTCCATCGCAGGGTTGGGTTGCCTGGTCACGGGTGTGGCAAGTCCAGCCCCAAGGACCTCATCCCTCTTCTACTTAAGACCCACAGGCATCTAGAAGACCAATAGCACCATCATGTCTACTTTGTGGACAAGGATGCTGAGCCCCTGTCATGCAAATCAAAAGTGGCTGTGTAGTGACTTGAACCCAGTACTCCAGGACTGGGTTGTTTTGAGCCTTTGCATTCTTGTGGTTTTCAGAGTGAGGTGAGGAAATGTGGAAGAAAGAATGAAAGAACAGGGTCGCTGCCCAAGGAAGCAGTCCCCTTGTATGGTGTAAGCACAGCGCCCTACAGTGTCTGCAAGTATTGTCACTAGAGAACCAGAGAAGGGGCCACCAGCTAGGGCACAGGTCACTCTCCACCAGGGTGACAGGAAGGTCTCCTGAAGGCGTGGCATCTGCAGAGGGCTGTTGGGAACATCTAGAATGACCATAAATCTAAAAGCAGCATCAAGGACACAGCTGAAGCAAGCCAGGGATGGAGGCTGCCTGCCGAGGGGTAGCTGGCGTTTTCAGCTCCCACATAAAGACGCAGAGACTTACTATTAATTACCAGTGCTCGGCCTTGGCTTAGGCTTGTCCCACTGGCTCTTATAACTTAATTTAACCTGTTTCTATCCATCTGCATTTTGCCTCAGGGCTTTCTACCTTCCTTTCATTCTGTATGTCCTACTTTCCTGCTTCCTCTGTGTCTGTCTGGCCCCTGGCACCTCTCTGTCATCTCCTTTTCTCCCTTCCTTGAGCCTAAATCCTCCTCCTACTTACTCCCCTTCCTGGAAGTTCTGCCTATAACCTCCTCCCTCGATATTGGATACTGGCCAGTCAGCTTTTTATTAGACCAATCAGGAACTTTAGACACGGGAAGAAAAACAGCAGCACATTTTGCAGTTAAATATTCTGCAACCCTGAGGGACTGCAGGGCGCTTAGAAGGGATGGTGTAATGGTTGAATGAGGCGCCCACGCCTGGGCGCTTGAACACGTGGTCTCTAGTTGGTGGTGCTGTTGGGAGGCTCAGGAGGTGTGGCCTAGCTGGAGGAAGTGCGTCAGTGGAGGCAGGTTTTAGGGGCGTGTAGGCACGCCCCATTTCATGTTTGCAGCTGAGACATGAGCTCTCAGCTTCCTGCTGCAGCTGCTGCTGCCGCTGTGCCTGCCGGCTGCCTTGCCTCCCGCCATAACGGACTCTCATCCCTCGGGAACCATAAGCCCAAATAAACGCCTACTTCTGTAAGTCGCCTTTGGTCACGGTGTTTTATCACGGCAACAGAAAAGTAACTATTCCAAGTGGGGACAGGGATCAACAAGGAAAAGAGGCCTCGGCAAGGGTGGGAGACAGCTCTCCCCACTCTCCAAGCATGAGTCTGGGGGTGCGCGGGGGGGGGGGGGGCAGTTAGAAGGGCCCTGGAGAAAGCATCGGCTCTCTCCCAGAAGGAAATCTCTCTGTGGCAAGAAACAGGAAGCGTGGGACTGAAGTTAGCCGCAGAGTCAGGGCCACTTTCCTCTACCCAGTGAGCCCCGGAATGTCTGTGCTGATCCTGGGCCAGGCTACCTCCACAGAGCCACCTGCTGGGCGCGACATCAAGCTCCAGCTGCCTGGCCAGGTATATCTGTTAGCACCTTCTTCTGCCCCCGATGCTTTTTGTTTGTTTACTTATTTTATATGTACATGAGTTTATGTATTTCTGTGTGCACCATGTGCGTGCCTGGTGCCTGTGGAAGCCAGAAGACAGTATCAGAGCCGCTGGAAATGGAGGTATGGACAGTTGTGTGCCTCCATTTGTGTGCTGGGACGCAAACCCAGGTCCTCTGCAAGAGTAAAATACTCTTTTTTGGTTTTTCAAGACAGGGTTTGTGTAACAGTCCTGGCTGTCGACTCACCGAGATCCACCTGCCTCTGCCTCCGAAGTGCTAGGATTAAAGGTGTGCACTACCACCTGGTAAGAATAAATATTCTTAACCAGTGAACCATCTCTCCAGGCCTGCCTTTTCTTTTCCTTCCTTCCTTCCTTTTTTCTCGTTTCTGAGACAGGGTCCCATATATCCCAGGCTGGCCTTGAACTCACTATGTAACCAACAATGACCTTGAACTCCTAATCCTCCTGCCTCCATTCCCCCTAAATTTTGGGATTATATGTGCGTAGCATCACACCAGGCTACCCCTGAGGAATTTCTTACAAACACAGGTACCCAGACCTGCTCTTCCACTAATCAACTCCAGTCCCAGGGCTGAGCACAGGCTGTCCCGGAGCCACACTGGGGAGTGTGAACCCAGGCCACCATGTCCCAGCCGTCAGATCTCAGAAGGACAATGTCACCAGCTGCTGCCTGGATGCTACGCTGAGGGACATGTGACTTAGGTGTTCCCCAGGAGCCAGGGTTTCCCAGACACCCAGTTGTCCTCACCAATTATCATCGTGTCCTCGGGAGGTCACTGGTCACTTTTCAGGTGCCCCGCTAGGAGCTGTGTGTAAAACACTGGGAAAGAACAATTGTCAACTCCCACACAAACAGCTAGAGGAGAGGCAATGTTTAACCCCTGAGACCCTGTAAATCTTGATATAGTTTATGCATCTCGCTTACATTTCTGCCCTGACTTGTGCATAAAACTTGTGGAGATTTACACAAGCCAGCCAAGTGTCACCCCTTCCCAAGCAGCTCTATGTCTTGGTGACCTTTCAGAAGCCAACGGTCCCTTTCCTGTTGTTACCCATAATTGAAAAAGCATCAGAGATAAGAAAATTTATGGTAATAATGATCTACCTGAGCAAGGCCATAAAGAACATCGGGTATCCGAGGGGGCGGGGGGAGGCACGCACCTGTTTATCACACGTTATCTCCATCCTCCAGGGCCTGCAGCAGCCATTGCTCCTGCCGGGTCCCCAAACCCAAGGCTGTGGCTCACACACGGCTGACCCCGGGCATGGATGCTTCTGGCTTCATCTGGGCCTGAGAGAAGTTTTATCCTCTGTGAGTCAAGGTCAAGGTCTCGGGGCCTGCCCTCCCCTGCCCAAGGTGCTCCTCGAGTCTACACTGATTTACATTCAGTGAGTTAAAGATAAAAGCAGGTTGAGGAGAGAGATGAGGGCAGGGTGGGGGAGCTCTTCCTCAGCCCTGATGAGTCCTGTTGACATTGTGTCCTGGTGCAGGATGCTGTACAGTGGGGCTGGAGAAACCCAACTTCGTGTAATGTTTGCATCTTTTTGGATCTGAGTTCTCATGTTTCTGTTTACTTTCTACAGGAAGAAGTAGAAAAAGACCCCAGAAAACCCAAGACATGTGGAAAATGACTCATCCATGCAGGGGCAACGGCTAAAAAGAATTCACAGTAGCCACCCTGGCTACCAGAACATGGAAAACATGAGTGGGATTTTTTTTATTTGTATGGGACAGTGTGTTTTATCTTCTGACTAGCATGCATCCATAGTATAAAACGATGGGCTTCGCTACAGCATTTCTAGTTGTTTCGACAGGAAAAAAGCTCAGGCTCACCCCGTCACTGTCTCTGTCCCCTCCCCTCCTTCCTCTTGTCAAACCGTCAAATAATCCCTCTTCTGTTTTCAACGCACGCACACACACACACACACACACACACACACACACACACACTCACACACACACTTTTCAAAACCTAGGTTCCCCATCTGAGAGGACTTACTCGTCTTTCTGAGTCTGGCCTAGTTCATCATGAGAATGTCTCTAGTTTCATCTATTTTCCTGCAAATGGCATAATCTCTCTCTTTCTGGCTGAATAAAATTCCAGTATCCACACCTCACTCTCTTTATCCATTCACCTGGTGATGGGCATCTAGGCCAGTTTGTTAACTTGAGTGACTCTGCAGCAAACGTGCTTACAGGTATCTCTGTGGTGTGTTGATTGACTGTTGCTGGGAACGTCAACTAGGCACCTGCGACCAATGTGGGGACCAGTATGTGGAGGTCCTCAAAACACTAAAAGTGACGTTACCATAGCACCTTTGATATACCTCAAGCCTCAGCTCCAAAGCACAGTCGTCTAAGTCTTAAAGGAGCCTGGGTTGGTGGGCCACAGCAACCTGGGGACAAATGAATGCGCAGCGTGGCCCCTTCCCCACAGAGGTGTGGGCAGAGGACAGAGAGTTCAAGCCACTCAGGACTCACCCAGGCTGTCACAGTCCAGAGCTGTCCTGCCGTTCCTCAGAGGAGCAGTATGTAGCTGGAGACCAAGCGGCAGCCAGCGGAGACGTGAGGGAAGAGATGACCCACAGCTGAACCCCAGATCCCTTCCCCTCTGAGGACACACAGGATATGAAGGTGACCCCTAATGAGTGGATTCGCCAGCCCACAGCGGGGTGAGCCACAGGCTTCCCATGAACCAACAACACAAAAGAGCAGCCCCAAGTGAAAGGGATTGTGGGGGATCAGTGCAGAAGGAGATGCAGGGAGTCCAGGGCTCCTAGACCACCTGGCCTCAGCTTGGCCTTCATTCTTGATACACTCACATGCTTCTCCTGTGACCCAGGGATGGAAAAGCCATTTCCTGCCTAGAAGAGACCTGCCGAACCCTCCAGGGATGCCCTCTGGCCCACTTAGAGTCCTGTGTGCATCTGTCTGCAGCCTCGAAGCAGCCTTGGTCTGGGACCCTTGGCAGTCAGCATGGCTGAGGGGAAAAAGGCAGGATCTGGGCATGGCAAGGTGGATCCCAGCCCTCATCTCCCATAATTACCTTGACTTTGAGTAGATCATTTAACTCCTTAGAGCCTTAGTTTCTCAGCCTGTAAATGGGAGAATAGAAGGGAGCTAAGAGGATTTTAAAAGGTAGGGTGGTACAGTGCTTAGCAAGGGGCTGATGCATGAGGCCGGGTTGTGGTTGTCGTGATGACCTCCAGTTCCTCCTCTCCTCCTCCCCCCTCCTCCCCCTCCTCCCCTTCCTCCCCTCTTTCTTCTCCCCTCCTTTCCCTTTCTGAGTCTCTCTCTCCTGGCTTCCTCTTTCTTACCCCTCCTCCCCTCCTTCCTCCTTCCCTTCCTCACCTCCTTCTCCTCCCCCTCCTTCCTCCTCTGTAGCTCCTCATTCCTCCT